CATTCCATTTCATTTTCTGCAGTTTCCAACTTTCCTAAGTTCATACTTTGTACATTTCGTTTTTTGATTATTAAAGGATTTTTACAGCTGTTTCTCTTCATTTTGAGTTGTGCCCCATCATCACATGAAAGTCCCGTGGGTTTCACTCCATTAGTATCATCATGGTCAGCTCTTCCCCAGTCGTATTTTGAGTGCCTTCCAAATTGAGAGGCTTATCTTTGGGCATTATTTCTGACAATATTCTGGTACTCTTCATCATGTACCAATATTCAATAATCTGGTGCTGATAGTGTTCCATTGCTATTCATAAGGTTTTCAGTGACTAAATATTTGAAAGTAGTCTGTCTCTCCTTCTTCCTAGTCTGTTTTCATCTGGAAGCTCATTTGAAAGCTGTTCACATTGGTGACCCTGTTGGTATTTAAAATACCCATGGAATAGCTTCTAGAATCAAAGTAACACACAAGTCACCACAGTACAACAAACTGACAGACCACTGGTGGACACACATATGGTGAACATGATTTCATCCCTTATTTATAAAAATAGCTCTGGTATTTCAGTGGTTAAGCATTGATCTGCTAAACCATAGGTTGGCAGTTTAAACCCATGAGTGTAAAGAGGTGGTAGTTTGAATTTGATAAGATTTACAACTTTGGAAACCCTGAAGAACAGTTTTAGTCTCTTGTATTAGGTTGTTACAAATCAAATCAATCCAATAGCAATGAGTCTGGTTATTAAAAAAAAAAAGTGCTTAGATGGAAACAAACCAATTTCTGCTAAAAAATGATAAACAATTTTCAGTCACACTAGAAATTTTGCTTAAAAATAAAGGTCCATTTCTGAACACTTTTATGGAGTATATAATTTATAAATTACTATATAAAAGAATAAGGACAAATGTACAGACTCTAAATCTTATTACTTATTCCACTATAGGGAGGAAGGGAGAAAAGATCCTATTGCTTAAATACATCCCACCTGAATTTAGAGATCATTTGAAGAGCAGATTTAATAAATGAAACACTAGAGACCAAAGATCAAAAGAGTTGAGATGACATCAAGAACATCATACATGAAGAAAGCAAAAAGTCATTAAGAAGACAAGAATAAAAGAAAAGTTCAAAGTGCATGTCAGAAGAGACACTGAAACTTGCTCTCCAGCATAGAGATGCTAAAGCAAATGGAAGAAATGAGGAGGTACAAGAACTGAACAGATAATTGAAAAGATCAGCTTGAGAAGATTAAACCCAAATATTACAATAAAATGTGCAAAGATTTGGAGTCAGAAAACCAAAAAGAAAGAACATTCCCAGCATTTCCCAAGCTGGGGGAACTGAAGAAAAAATTCAAGCCTTGACTTTTGTTATTGAAAGATTCTCTGTACAAATTATTGCATGATGCAGAAAGTATCAAAAGAAGATGGAAGGAATACATCGAGTCACTGTACCAAAAGGAAATGGTTAATGTTCAACCGTTTCAAGAGGTAGCATATGATCAAGACCCAATGATACTGAAGGAGAAAGTCCAAGGTGCATTGAAGGAATTGTCAAAGAACAAGGCACCAGGAATTGATGGAATAAAATTTGATGTCTTTCAACAAAGTGATGCAGCACA